AATGAAGTTTAATTGGAACTACAAATTGAAACATATATGAGATTATAAAAGATCTTTCATTAAGCTTAATTGCCTTTACAGAATGAGCCACGATTGAAGCTTTTTTGGTACAACAAAAGAGCCCGCAATTAAAGCTTAATTTGTCTAAGAATGGGACTTCAATCGGAAGCTTAATTTTAACTACAAATGGACATACAAATGACACTCAATTAAGACAAGAAAAAGGTCCTAAATTGGAGATTAAAGAGACCAAGGATTAAAGACTACAAAATAGCTTTTATTTAAAGCTTCATGGGAACTTAATTTAAAGTGTAATAGAGGAGCTTCAAGATTAAAACAGAGTTACCACTACAGAACTAAAGAATTGGGGTTTGAAAAAGGGTCACGACTTAAGTTTTTTTCTTAATTAATTAATTACATAATTAAAAGACTAACTTTTACAAATATTTCAAATTGATATATTTTGTTATTAAAAGTGTTTTTAAAAGTTTCTGTGACAATGGGATTTTTATTCAAATCGTTTTCTTTGTAATTGATTAAATTCAATTTTAAAATGATCTTTTAATTAATAAGAAGAAACACAAAAAGCAAATTTAATTAATTTAAATCTTAAACAAAAAACTTTTTAATATTTTAAACAAATACTGGGTATTGAAAAGTGACATTTCAAATGTCTAAAGTCCACTTTTTGAGAAATTTAACACATTTTATTATATTTTTAAACATGTTTTGTTATTGCTCTTTATTTAGATAGAAAGCACTTAATAAGAATTAATAATTATTTCATTAAAATGTGTCATAACGCCACTTAATTATTATTCTAGTTATATTGATTACTATTTATTTAAATTGTGATATTGAACTTGCTATTTGAACTAAAAAGTAATTTGTTGCCTGTTTAGTGTTTTTTCTACTTGTTTTCAAACTCAATTTTTTCAATTAAAAACAACCGGTTCTAACTGGTTTTGGAATTTTTTGCGATAATTTAGTTCTAAAAGCAGCAGGCAAACGTTTATCAATCATTTGAACACAATCAACAGCTTTTTGAAATATTAATTTGCTAAACAAATAATAATTATAGGAAATTAACTTTATATTTTTTATAAAAATAAAGTTGATGATTTTTCTAAATTTTTCTTTCCACTTTTTTCATTCAATATTAAAAAAAAGTAACAAAAACTTATAAAAAAGCAAAAGAAAATAAAAAAAGTATTACTGCAATTTTAATAAAATTTTATTTAATAATTATTTGCCGTAAAATAATAAATTTCCCAAAAACTATGAGCAATTTTAGTAGTTTTTCATATATTCCTCACATTCTTTTGATTTTGTCCCACTTTACTTTAATTTTTAAAATTTTCCTTTAAAATCCCCTCTCTTTTCACATTCAATTTTAACGGAACATTATTTGCTTTACTTTAAAATACATACCTGTGTTACCACCACTTTGTTTATAACATTTGTATTTACTACACATTTTTACAACACTGTGACACGGCCACCATTTTGAAAATGTCATGAAATGTTGCCACAATTGCGTATTTGTGACGACAGCGTTAGCGTATAGATATCAATTTGCTGAGAAAATTTAGAAAAAATCAACACGGTACCACCGCGTAAATCTACAAGAGAGTTGACCAATTGTAACAAAAATTTAAGAAATACCTCGGAAAATCTGGAAACACTCTATACATTTTGTTGTTGCTTGAACTTGGAACAAAAAAACACACGCACAAAAGGTAAACAATGAATATGAAAAGGAAATATGCCACTTTGACAACCACCTCGGGCGGTACTATCAAAGAAGAGGTGGTGCCTGTCTTAATACACGATCCCAATTCGGGTGAGGAACCTCAGTATGCCTATGCCACCTTTGCCACTAGTGAAGAGGCAGAGGCAGCTGTTGCTTCTTTGCATCATAGAGGAGGTCAGCATCATCATCAGGAAGTAGTCGATGCTCAAGAGGTAATAATCGATGAACATGGCAGGGCGGTGGCCATACATCAAATTGTCACCGAAGATGGCAATTCTGTGGAGGATGATGAAGTTGGCGATGAATCTGAGAGTGGTCATACCATTTTACACATAGTACCTACTGGCGAGGAGGATGAGGAAGGTGGTCATGATGAGAGTTTGGGCAGTACTGAGGAATATGAAATCACCGAACAAAGTAACACAGATATGAATGCTATGCGCAATAATAAAACATTTTATTGTCCCAATTGTGGCAATTGCTATAGTGCAGCCGGTTCCCTTAAGCTGCATATGCGTGCCTGCATGCGTCAAAAGGAAGAAGTGCCTGAGGAGGATAGAAAGTGTAAAATTTGCAATAGAGTTTTCAATTCTCCCAGTTATTTGAAAGAACATTTATTGCGCCATACCGGAGGAGGTCCTAAACGTTGTCCCCGCTGTTACCGCAAATTCATAGATGAGGAAAAGTTTAAGGCCCACATGGAACAGCATAAGCATCAGGAGAAACTGGAAGCTGAAGCCGAGGCCATTAGCGCCCAACATAGTGGCAAAAAGGTAGTAGTCAAAGAGTACACTTGCTCATTTTGTTCCCAAAACTTCACCGTGGTCTTTGAGGCCGGCACTGTTAAGCGTCGTTATGCCTGCGATCCCTGTCGTGAGAAATTCTCGAATGCCGAAATGCTTAAGCAGCATAAACAAATGGTCGAGGAGAAACGTGAATTCTCCTGCGAACGCTGTGGCCGTAAGTTTGTCTTTGAGGGCTTCTTGCAGCGTCATATACCCACTTGTGATGGCACCATTAAACGGCGTCGTGACATGAAGTAATTCCATAATTCTCTATGGACTAATCCTTTGGCGGACGTGAAAGGATCTATTTAAATCTATGTCGTAAATTAATTTTGCTTAGTTTTTCTTCTCTCTTCAGTTTTGCTGTAAAATCTATTATTATTACATTCATAAGAAATTTTTCTACAATTTAGATTAAAACACAAACAAACACAACACATAAAAATACATTATGGATTTTAAGGGAATTTCACATTTTAGAGAATTTCTGTAAAATAGAATCCTTTTTTTGGTTTAAATTCATATTGTATTCTCGACACTATTTTTACAAATTTAAGAAATTTTGTTTTGAAAAGAATGTTAAAATAAAAAAACATTTATGAAAAATACAAACTGGAGTAATAAATAAGTACTGGTATGTTGTCTAGTCTATTTAAAGGTCTCTATCCTTGTCTATTGACTAGCTTTTAGTCCAGTCTATTGATTTGCCTGAAGTCTAGTCTGTAGTGTAATGTTTGGACTAGTCTGTTATCTAGTCCATTGACTAGTATGTAGTCCAGTCTGTTCACTAGTCCGTAGATAAGCCTGTAGTCCAGTCTATTGACTAATCTGTTAAATAGTCACGTATATTGATTTGTCTGTAGTCTAGGCTATTGACTAGTTTGTATTGACCAGTTAAACTAATCGATATTTTAACCACTCGATTTTGTAAAATACACTCATTCTTTGTGAATTTCTTTCGATTTATTCATAAATTTTCTCTAAACAGTTTTTTTATACCATAAAGATTTCACCGCTTAATTAAAACTAAAGAAAGGAAAAGCTTTTTTGGAGTTAAATTCCTTAAAAAGGAAAACAACAAATAGTTGAACTTTTTAAGACCACAATTTGATGTGAGCACGCTTAGCCAAAGCCTTCCAATCGCTGTGTACATAGAATTCGCTAAAGCTAGGATCAACCAATTTGTCCTTGGGCAATGTTTTGAAAACGGGTTCACCATACCAGGTGCCAACCTAAACAAAAAAAAAACACAAAATAGCAACCACAAACAAATAACTCAATATCAATTCTTACCTCCCAGCCGGGAACATTAGCCATCAATTTGGCTTCTTCATCACGATTGCGTCTCAATTGTTTCAAGTACTCACGATCACGTTCAGCAATCAAAATGGGGAAGATGACATTCTGTGCCGAACGCATTTCAATCTCTTCGCGTTTAATCATTTTGGCATTCAAATAGTAAATATACATGCCGACAGTGGTAACAGCAGCATAAGCACCCAACATTTGCCAACCTTTTGGGGAAAAGTAACTCCTTTATTAAAACATAAAAGGACTTGGAAAATGTTCTTAAAACCTACCCGTAAAATAGGATTTAGCTGGTACACGGGCAAAAGGAATTTTCTTATAGCCTCCTGGTGGTGGCATATCTTGTTTTTTGGCAGCATCCATGTTGGGCCTGTGTTGTGTTTACTTTTTGTTAAAGAAATTTATTAAAACTTTGTTAATTTATTGGAATTTTATAGAATTTTACCTAGGCTGCTGTAAAAAAATGAGGAAAATTGCAATTTGTCAATTTTTTTTGACAATCAGTCGTTTGCATAACAGCAGTGCTGCCAACCTTAAAACATTTGTTTACAATTTTTTAAAATGTCAACAACAGCTGGCGACAGGGTTGGGAAAACGAACTTAAGTAAGAAAACAGGGTTAGGAAATTCAAATTAAAGTAACGATTATTAATAGCCTGGTGGTACCGCCAGGAACCAACCAACAACTTCATGTTATGACTTTTAAAATGTTTTTAATTGCAAGCGGCACTAATTTCTTTGATCGGTATTGGCATAAAGATTCATTTGACTTATCCAGGTTCAAAAGAATACAATTACCTCTAAAAAATTTACTTTTGTGATATTGTGTACTTTTGGCAAAAAGATCCAAATTATTCATCCCTATCAAAAGTTCTATGTCGAAAATGTCGCAGAAAATCATATTTTTCTTCAGAAAAGAGCTGTTTTATATATATTATATAATATATATTATATATAGCTTGCTCTATGTTATTGTTATATATGATCCCAAAAAAAATCCCACTTAAAAAGTCTCTCGGATTCCATTTTTATTTCAAACCTTTGAAAATTTTAAAATTAAGCGTATTTGAGAACTTAGTCGGCTTACAGTCGATTTTAAGTCGCCGCCGTTATTTTTAGTGTCAGCAGCCGTATCCGTTAATATTTGTCGGCGCAGGGCTCTGTGTGCGCGTGTCGGTTTGAAGAAGAAAAAATAAAAAAACACTCCCCAACAGAAAAAATAGAAAAAATCTAAAGGATAAAAACTTTCACAAATCAAAAAATTTATGTTTAGTTTTTAAGTAAAATACGAGAAAAAACAACAACGAAATTTTATAATAAATCCAACAACAACATGAATTCCTTAGGTTTGCGAGTTGCCTCCGTTAAGACTGGTGATAATGTTAGAAAAAATGCTGAAATGCGAGCAGCCCTGGTCACATTGCCCAAACAATATGAATTGTGTAAGAAGGACTTTAAAGATATTTTTAACGTGAATTTCCAATGTTAATAACTTTCCTTTTCAATAGTTGACGACACCTATTGTTTGGAAATGAAAAGTGCTAAAACTGTGCCGGAACAGGTGTTGTGTGTTAAAAATGTAAGTAGGAATAGCAGCATAGTTTACAAAGTACAAAATTTTTAAATGAATAAATGTTTTAGACCTTTAAAAATCTAGGCACAGATGAAAAGGCTTTACAGTTCTTATGTGATATTTACTTTTCAAGTCCCCTTAAACATCCTGTAAGGAATCAAATTTTGAAGTAAGTTTATAGCATTTGCTAACACATAACTATACATTAAGGACATTCCTTTGGATTAGTAACAAAACATAAACATAAATTTTTTCTTAAGACTTTTAATAACGGCTGCTAAGTTGGGTACTGGTGATTTGGATGAATCATCGATTGTTAAGGCTTTAGTTAATAGTTTACATAGGCTGGTAGAGGAGGGCAAAACTCACACTGAAAGTTTGAATTGGAATTTAACCATAGCCTCTTTATCGGGTTGTTTTGAAAATTTTGAATGTGGCCTTAAAGCCCTGGAACAGTGTATCCATATAGTGTTTCCTTATGCCTGTTCTTCCGTTAATAGATATGTAACAGAATTGGGGTAAGTAAACACTTCAAATACACTTTAAAAGTTACATTCCCTTAAAGTGTATATTTTCCCTTTAAAGCGTTTTAAGCTCTCCCTCCGTGCGCAATGAATACTATATGTATGTCCACAATTCCATACGCTTCCTACTCAATTGTGTGCAAGAATTTGGCAAAGTTATGAAAACCTCTCACACCGATCAAATCAAACAATTAAATACCAACTGTAAAGAGATTATCCTAGACACAGATATACCCATGGATCCACGCACAAATGCGGGCATTTTAATGGCCTATATAGCTAAACTTTTCGAGGAATATGATGCCTTTGTGGCCTATGTTAAGGATATAAAAAATCCCAATGAAATTGCCATGTGTGTGGGTATTATCAATACCTGCGATCAACATGATTTTCAACAATATTCCGCCGATATACGTGATATTTGTGGTAAAATAGATGAAATTGCCAATGCTAATGCCACAGTACCCAATATCTTGCTATGTGCTACCCGAGCTTTATACCAAATCTCCAAACTTACTTATACTTATGCCTTAAAGTCACCACAAACTTTAGATGATATTAAATTAATATTGCGCAAACTTTTGATATTTACCGTGGCCTATTTGGAACATCATATGGATAGTGTTAGGCATATATGTCGTGATCTAATGCGTAATATAGTGGCTTGTTCGAAAAAGGTGCAATTTGATTTTTTGTTGCAAAAAATCTATGATGCCTGCAATTCAGATCGTTTGTCTTTATCCATGAAATGTGTAGTTTTGCAGCAGGCTGCTTCAATACTGGGAGCTGATGAGATTATTAGCAATTGTTTGGATTTATTTTCACATCTATTTGCCACCAATTTGGGTCGAGATTTTATAGTGAATAATTTATTTGAGAGTAAGTAGAAAAGTTTAATTTATTAAATAACTTTTTGGAAACAATTTACGAAGAAAAAAAAGCAATTTTGAATTTCAAAATTATTTTTGACTTACAAACTTATTCAGCAAAACAATTTCGCTTAAATAAATTCAGCTGAAATATTTTTGGCAAAACAATTCAATTCAGCTTTGAAATGTTTGTATAAAATTCAATTCAGCTGAGAAAATATCAGTAAAATCTAATTCAGCTAAAAAACATTTATAAATTTTATATGGAATTTGTAATAAAAATTTAATTCTGTTGAAAAATGTTCAACCAAATGTTATTCATCTACAAAATATTCAATAGAATACAATATTTCTACCAAAAATATACTTTAGCTGAGATATTTTCAATAGAATTTTCAATAGAATTTCAATTCAGCTGAGAAATTTTTACTTAAATTAAATTCAGATAGAAAATTTTCAATTAAATCAAATTTAGCTATAATGTTTTTAACAAAAGTTAAATACAGCTAAGAAATTCTTAATAAAAATCCAATTCAGCTATGAAATTTGTAAGAAAAATTCAATTCAGCTACAACATATTTAACAAAAGTTAAATTCAGCTGAGAAATTTGTAATAAAAATTCAATTCAGCTAGAAAATGTTTAATAAAAATTCAATTCAGCTAAGAGATTTTTAATAAAAATTTAATTCAGCTATGATTATTTCATTAAAATCTAATTCAGATAAGAAATTTTTCACGAAATCACAATTCAGCTAAGAAAATTTTAATAAAAATTCAATTCAGCTAAAAAATTTTTACTAAATTCTTATTCAGCTATAATGTTTTTAACAAAAGTTAAATTCAGCTGAGAATTTTGTAATAAAAATTCAATTCAGCTAGAAAATGTTTAATAAAAATTCAATTCAGCTATGAAATTTGTAATAAAAATTCAATTCAGCTGATAAAATATCAGTAAAATTTAATTCAGTTGAAAAATGTTCAACCAAATGTTATTCATCTACAAAATATTCAATAGAATACAATATTTCTACCAAAAATATACTTTAGCTGAGATATTTTCAATAGAATTTAATTCAGCTACAATCTTTTTACCAAAAATTTAATTCAGCTAAGAAATTTTTAATAAAATTTCAATTCAGCTGAGAAATTTTTACTGAAAATTAAATTCAGATAGAAAATTTTCACTTAAATCAAATTTAGCTATAATGTTTTTAACAAAAGTTAAATGCAGCTAAGAAATTCTTAATAAAAATCCAATTTAGCTATGAAATTTGTAAGAAAAATTCAATTCAGCTACAACATATTTAACAAAAGTTAAATTCAGCTGAGAAATTTGTAATAAAAATTCAATTCAGCTAGAAAATGTTTAATAAAAATTCAATTCAGCTAAGAGATTTTTAATAAAAATTCAATTCAGCTATGAAATTTGTAAGAAAAATTCAATTCAGCTACAACATATTTAACAAAAGTTAAATTCAGCTGAGAAATTTGTAATAAAAATTCAATTCAGCTAGAAAATGTTTAATAAAAATTCAATTCAGCTAAAAGATTTTTAATAAAAATTTAATTCAGCTATGATTATTTCATTAAAATCTAATTCAGATTAGAAATTTTTCACGAAATCACAATTCAGCTAAGAAAATTTTAATAAAAATTCAATTCAGCTAGAAAATTTTTACTAAATTCTTATTCAGCTATAATGTTTTTAACAAAAGTTAAATTCAGCTGAGAATTTTGTAATAAAAATTCAATTCAGCTATGAAATTTGTAATAAAAATTCAATTCAGCTACAAAATTTTCTCTTAAAATGTTATTCAGCAAAATATTTTTAACAAAATCTAAGAAAATTGTCTCTAAAATGTTATTCAGCTTAAAAAAATCCATAAAAAAATAAAAAATCTTCTCCTTTTTAACCAGCTTTAATGATATCCCATCACAAAGAGCAGCCCTTTGAAAATTGGGTCAAACTCTGGATCAATTATCTGCTAAATATAGCAGCTATGCAGGATGCCCGCTTGCCGGACATAGAAATACTCATTGTTAAGGCTGTTAAATGTGACTGTAGAGTAGTACAAACTATAATTAGTTGTGAGGATAAACCAAAAATCCCCATTAGCACAAAATTATCAGCCCTATGGGCTGTACGTAAATCAGGTATAAAAATAGATAATTTCCAAGAAATGATGCAACAATTTTCGAAAAATTTACAATTATCCATACTCTCCAATGAGGATGATACACGTATTATGGCTTTACGTCTACTGGTGGAGACACACAAAACCACCGAGCCATTAACTTTATTGGAATGTAAACATTTGCTTACTTATTTGGAGTACAATACAAATTGCCAGAGTCCGGCTACTAGACAAAAAAGTTTAGGTTTATTGAGTAAAGGATTGGTGAGATGTGAATTGAATTTGGTTAAGTTGCTAAAGGGAAAACAACCACCTAAACTAGTACAAAATCAGCCATTGGAATTGAAATTTTTACAAGATTTTATGCGTATATTGGTGGAGAATCTCTTTGAGGGAGCCAACTTTAGTCGAAGATCGGTTTCATTGCAATTGCTGAATCAGTGTCTAACCATAGGCATAAATTGTAATTTAAAGCTGTTGACATTGCTGCCAAAAACAACAGTGACAGCTTTGGTTAACACTTTGGCAGATCCCTATGAGTCTAATAAGGAACTGGCGGTTACTATGCTAAAATTGCTGGAGGATAATAGTGAATTGAGTTTGATAGAACAATACAATTTGAATATTAATTTACTGGAATTGCAGACTATGTTGACCTCAGTCAAACCCACGGAATCGGTAACCGCCTCTTATCAATTGGAATTTTTGTGCAATAAATGTTCTCCCGCCATATTTGGGGACTATGATTTACCCAATTATGCCACCTGCATGTATGCTGCTATCAAATGGCTTTTAGCAGAACTTAAACAAGGCTTAAAAATGGCCAAACAATCTATATTGGAAGCGGCCAAACTAAATCCTTTATATGGTTTGCTTTTGGCCATAAAACATTTACTAAAAAGATTGGATTTTGCTTATCTAAGTCAAGAGATCACTTGGCGTATTTTAATAGCGGAATTAATAGTTATATGTAAAGATTTAACCAATGTGGTGGCTCCCATAGTCAATAGCTCCTCACCGGAGGGTCATTTGCCCAATGATTTTAGTGATTTACCGCAGGAATTGCAAACTAAACAACCCAGTCCCGAAAAGAAATCCTCTTCACCCTGCAAGATACTCTCCTCTAAATTGCGTAAAATTGATATGGCCTCGGTTAAGACAACACCACAAATGGTTTTATTATGTGCCTGGCGTACCGTGAAAGAGGTTTCCTTGATATTAGGCGAAATAGTTATATGTTCTCCCATACAATTTAACAAACTAACCGAACATTTTCTAATAACCAAAGAGCAGATACTCGAAATAGGAGAACATTTCAAACTTTTACTCTCAGAAACTAAACATCGGGGAGCTTTTGAACAAGCCTATGTAGGTTTTTCAAAATTGTGCTGCCGTTTGTGGACGGTGGAGTCCAATGACTTAAATTCTTTGCCTATGATATGGCTAAGAGATTTGATAAACTTAATCTCTAAAGATGAACTCAACAATGAAAAAATTTGCGCCACCAGACGCAGTGCGGGAGTACCGTTTATGGTGCAGGCTTTAATTACCTCCGAACTGCAAGTGGGCTCTACCAAATCCCTCTACTACTGCATGACTCATTTACTGCAACTCTGCTCCGCTAGTGATAAAACTTCAGAGTCACGTACCCATGCCTTAAATATATTAAGAGCTCTCTTTAGATGCACCGATCTTAATGAGGCAGTGGGTGAATTTGTTTCCGAAGGTGTTATGGCCGCCATACGTGGTTATGATGCCAACAATTGGTCGGAGAAAAATTCAGCTACACTACTCTTTGCCTCTCTAATAACACGCATCTTTGGTGTGCAGAGAACCAAGGATTCTGAAAACCTCAATATACGCAATAAAATGACAGGACGTGTTTTCTTCCTACGTTATCCCAAACTATACGATTTCTTTTTGGAACAACTACAAAAGGCTAGTGATTTAATACAACAGCAACAAAAAGCCCACAAATTACATCCACTCTTATTAATCTTAAGTCGTTTATATCCTTCGGCCTTAGAAGGCACTGAATCTAATTTAAAATTATCCGAATTTATACCTTATATCTCTAAATGTGGTGGTTGTCCGGAAATGCAAACGCGTTTTTTGGCTGCCAAGGCTATAGTGGCCTTGATTAGTAAAGATGAAGTGGTTACTATGATTTTAACCAAATGTGCCGAAATGGTGGTAAGTTTCAAGGAAAGAGGTATATCCTTTCAATGAGTTGTTTAAAAAGTTGTTCTCTTAATTTTTTAACAGTTAATGGCTGATGGTGTTTATGAATTTAAATCAAATACTTTACATGGCAATCTACTGCAGGTGAGTTGAAAGTTATTTCAACATTAAGTTTAATTTAAAATACCACCACAAAATGAATAATTAACTTTGAATGTGATTGTGAGGTAAGAAGGACCATTTAGGCGAAACCTTTTTTATATGATTTTTTTGAGTTAATGTAGGAGGTCTTTAAAATAGGAAACATAGGGAAGTTTACAAAAATTAATAAAAACCGATTAATTTGAAGTTAAACTATTTCAAGTTTTTTTCACACAATAAAATTTTACCAAACTTTTCGCTAAAAAACAAATTTTCTTTAAAAAAATACCACGAGATTACTTATTGTGTAACTCTTTTTAACAATTTAAAAATACTGGGAAATTTTGGCAAAAATACTGGTTTATTTTTTTCTATTAATCTATTAAAAATCTATATTTATTGCTAAAAATTGTGTTTATAAATCAAATTTTTCATAATTTTAAATTTTTTAGTGAAAATTTCGTGAATTTTTTTATTCAGTTGAGAGTTTTATAAAATATACTGGGAAATTATAGAAGATTATTTGTTTGATTCTTGGTAATTTTTTAAGTTGTATTTAATTACAACAAAATTTGATGTTTATTTTGAGAAATTTAAAAATAGGGGGAATTTTTAAAAAATACTGGTTTAATTTTTTTTGCTTGAAATTAAAGATTTTTGGAAATTATTAAGGTTTATAAACAAAATTATGCAAAATTTAAACTATTTCACTATTTTAAATGCAATTTAAAAATAGGGGAAATTATTTTTTTTAACTATTTTTCTAAAATTAAGATTTTATGACAAATTTCTTTAACTTTTTATGTAGAAATTTATTTGTTTTAACATTTTTGTCATTTTGTAGAAGTTTTGTTGAAGATTTTATACAAAAATACTGTGGAATTTTGGGAAAATACTGGTTTATTTTTTGCATAAATTTATTTCTTTTTTTAATTATTATGATTTATATATACAAAATTAGGCATATTTGTTAATATTTCACTAATTTTTAAAAATTAAAAAATAGGTGGAATTTTTTTTACTTATTTTTAGGATTTTTCCAGAAATACTGGGAAATTTTAAAAATATTTGTATAAATTTTGTTAGTTCTATTGAAAAACGTTTAAATTGTATTAAAATTTATACATTTTTCAGAATTTTTGAAAATAGGGGGACATTTTTGAAAAAATACTGGTTTAAGATTTTTGTATAAAATGATAGATTTTTTGAAATTCTTATGGTTTATATCCAAAATGGAGCAAAATTAATACTATTTCACTATTATCTAGAAGATTAAAAAATAGGGGGAAATTAATTTTTTAAATATTTGACTAAATTTCCGATTTTAGGCCAAATTTCTTTAACTTTTCATGAAGAAATTTATTTGTTTTAAAATTGTTGTCAATTTGTAGTGTAAAATGTATAAAATTTTTTATTTTGAGGATCTCATACAAAATACTGGGAAATTTTGGAAAAATACTGGTTTATTTTTTGCACAAATTTTAAATTTTTTTTTAATTAATTATAATGATTTATATATCAAAAATTATTCATATTTGTTAATATTTCACTAATTTTTAAAAATTTAAAAATAGGGGGAAATTTATTTTACTTACTTTTTAGGATTTTTTAGGATAAATTTTGTTATAGTTTAACAAAATACTTCTCAAATATATTTAAATTTTAAATTTTTCAGAAGTTTTTGAAAATAGGGGGAAAATTAAAAAATACTGGTTTAATTTTTTTGCATAAAATGAAAGACTTTTGGAAATTCTTATGATTTATATACAAAATGAAACAAAATTATTACTATTTTACCGTTTTTTAGAGAATTAAAAAATAGGGGGAAATTTTTGAAAAAAATACTGGTTAAATTTTTTTGCATAAAATCAAAGATACTTTCAATATTATAAGGATTATAGGTATATTAGCGTTTTATCTATGTTATTTCACTATATTTTAGGAATTTTTAAGTATTTTTGTAGAAATGGTCCTTTAAAAAATATTAATTATTTTCTTAATAAAGGTGGTGGTTTTTTAAAATTCTTTTTGAAATTTTTATTAAATTAATTTCCTTAATTATGTCTATTTATTTATGTAGATATTGTATTTAGTTAAATATCACAAAATCTTATCGACTGATGACTTGATTGCCGACATCACTTGCTCCATAGTTAGTGTGCACGAACGTACAAAACTTAAAAATGCTGTAATTTTAAAAGTAATGCTAGACATTTATATTGAAATTTTAAACAGGTTGGTTGGTTTTTCAACGATTTCCACATATTTTTTCTCTTTTATTATTATTGTTGTTATTTTAGTTTAACTACCCTTAATTTTGGTCCTGCTGTTGTACAACAACTTTTATATTTCTCTACTTTAACGACCTTATGTGATCCAAATATGGCCTTTTATTATCCCGTTTTATACAAATCGAATTTCCTATACAATTTGCATATCATGCGTTTAACTTTGCCTTATGGTGCTCTATCCGATTATACATTAAGTCCTCCTTTAACCAATATGCCTTTAGAACAAGCTGAGACCTGCCTTAATATAATGTTACTTTTACTATTGAAAGCTAAAACATTTAATGAAACTAATGCTGCAGCTTCGGCCTCTGATAATGCTGCAGCTGCGGGTGCAACTTCGTTAGATGAGGAGACCGTTGTCAAGTTGTTGCCCCAGGATTATGAGAATAATGAAATTTTACAGGAATTAGAAATAATGCCGCATGAATATCAATTTGTTAGAATCTTAAATGATGATACTATGAACGAATTGGCCACCGAATTGAAAGAGAGCAAGGCTTTACAATTGACCCTTAAAGAAGTGGTTAAACTTCCGTTATATTATCCCGAGGCCACAATGAAATCCTATGCTGTTATGAGTTTATTAAGTAATTTTGATTTTACTTTGACAAATCTAATAAAAGAATCGAAAAAACATCCTGGCGATGTTAAATCACCCATGATGCTGTGTGTGGAACGTATAGTACAAAATCAAGGTGTTGAATATAAATGTGCGCAATTGTGTCTGGAATATTTGACGGAGATATCACAACCCTGGCAACCGGATTGTTTGAGGTTAGTAATACCAACTTCCCTTCCCCCCAAAATCTATTCTTCACCAACAACTTTTCTTCTAAAAAGGTTTAAGGCTGCCAATCTATTGGTTTACATTGCTGTCCACTATCCCAAATCGCTGGAAAAGAAACGTATCAATTTTGTGCGCTCCTATATACGTTTAATGCTGAATCTATTGATGGACGATGATTATGATATACGTGACTTTACCGCTAAAATAGTTTTACACTCGCTACCCGATGACATTGAATTGGGTTTGTCTGATAGTTTAAGTAATAATGATTTAGTTAGTTGTTTAAACATTCCAATTCGTACAGAAAGTGTTGTTTCCACCATGGCGCAACGTTTGTTTTTACAATACACGGCCGATCTTTTACTAAACTATAGAATGGACGATACTTATATCTTGGATATATTTAAATTAATCACTTCTTGTCTAACCACACAATGTTTGGCCAAAGACGATGATGATCAACACTCGTCTTCGTCTTCCTCCGGTGGCGGTGGTAGTGGTGGCGGTAGTATTGGTAGTTGTTCTTCTTCTACAGATGTCGAAATCTTTGAAAAGAATGAGGCTAATGTCTATGCCGAACCTTTAAAAGCCATTACCGACACTGTGGTGGTGTTTAAGTGTACATTTCGTTTGCGTCCGAAAGTTGTACGCTTTGTGGAATCATATTTACAGGATTTAACTAATCAGGGATCAGTGCTGTAAGCTTATAAAATATTCGTATATATCTATTTTATTTATATTATATATTTGAACATATTGTATATATGTATTATTGATATTTTCCTTTATCAGCTTAATTTAAGTATTTTGATTCATATTTGACAACATTTTTTTGGTTTTTTCCCTTTTGGAAGGAAAAGAAGAGCAAAAGTAATTCAGCATAGTTTTTGGGGGGGTTTTTATTAACAGCATTCATACATATCACTCTTTTTAGTCATACATACTTAGGGAAAGTTCAAGCTTTTTAGTGCAAACAAGTTTTTAGCTTAAAGAGCTTTTGCTTAAAATTCATATTTTGTCAATGAAAAGCCAAATTTTATGAGTTTAAGCAGAGAACTTTTAAGTTTTTTAAGACCATTTTCCGAAATTTTTTAGTTAATTTTTAATAACTTTTTTCAAAAGCTTTTTCTAACAAGGTTTTGAATAAAAGCTTTTTCTTAAAGTTTTTTTTTTAATTTTATAAAAGCTCATTTCTTAAAATACTATAAAAGCTTTTTTCTAAGAAATTTTTGTCTTAAAAGCTTTGCCCCAAAGCTTTCTAAATGCTTTGTCCTAAAAGCTTTTTCTTAAATTTGTCTTAAAAGCTTTATAAAAACTTTTTCTTAAATTTGTCTAAAAGCTTTTTCAAGTATTTTTGTTATTAAATACTGTTTTAAAAAGCTTAAAAATATTTTACTTTAAATTTTATCTAAAAAGCTTATTTTTCAAAAAACTTTTTTGTGTAAATTTGGTTTTTCTTAATGATTTTTGTAATATTTTTAAATAATTTTATTTTAAACACGAAAAACGAATTTCGAAAAAAAGCTTTTTTCTTCTTTTTAATGAAAATGTTTATTTCATTAAACAATTTTATTAAAATAGGTTTTAACTAAAAAGCTTTTTTTGTTTCTTTTTTAAAATTTCTCTTTACATGTTTGTTTTTAACTTTTTTTAAGAAAAAGCTTTTTAGTTAATTACATATTTGTTTTTAATTTTTTAGTAAAACTACTTTTATAAGAAAAAGCTTTCTAATTAAACTTTCAAATTTTTTTTTAATTTTTAGTGAAAAGTTTTTTTTAATTTTCGGTAAAAAAAGGTTTTATTAAAGCTTTTTGGAAAAACTTTTAATTTAATTTTCTTAAAGCTTTTTGTATCAATCTATTTCAAAAGAAGCTTTATAATTCTTTTTGGAAAGCTTTTTAAGCAATTTTATAAAGCTTTCTTTCTAAAGTTTTTCGGTGAAACAACTTTTTGTAAAAAAAAAACTTCTTAAAGCTTTTTGAAAAAAAATATCCACTTTCAGTTTCTTAAGGTTTTTTGTATCAATCTATTTCAAAAGAAGCTTTATAATTCTTTTTGGAAAAAGCTTTTTAAGCATTTTTACAAAGCTCTACAAAAATATTGTTTAAAGTTTAAACTTTAAAAAATTTTAACTTTTTTAGAAAATACTTTTTCTAAAAACTTTGATATCAATTTAAAACCTTTATAAAGGTTTTTGTTTAAAAATATTTGTTTGTGAAAACGCACCTTTTGGTGTAAAGCTTATTTAGAACATTTCTGTGATTAGTTTTCTATCACTTTAGAGAAGAAGCTGTGTTGATTTTTTTAATAAAAAAGCTTTTTTCTAAATTTTTTAGTAAAAAATCTCTTTTCATATTTTTAGTTTAAAATTTTTTTTGTATAGAAAACTTCTGTCTTGATTTTACTCTAATTAGCAAAATGGAATGTTAAAAAAAGCTTTTAATGAAGATTCATAGTAGTTAAATTTAGTTTATCTTAAAGTTTAGTTTATTCAGAATACTGTTTACGTTGCCGGTTATAAATTGCAAAAGCAATTTTTGTTTAAAAAGACAAACTGTTTTTCAATATTAAGAATTTTATAGTTTGAGGGTTGAAAGTCACAAATTTTTGTTAGTTGTAGATTTAAAAAAGATTTTAGAGATTTTAAGGGAACTTGACTGAATTACTTTTCGTGAGCTTTTTTGTTTTTCCAAAAAACACTGACTTTGGCACTCAGTGGTGCTTTTTTATTATATGTTTTAAGTTTGTAAACATTTTACTATTTCATAAATGAATCATTTTTTAAAGTTTTTTATTTGTAAAGCTTATAAAGTTTTTCATTTTCCTTTTTGTGTGTGTTGTAATTCAATAAAACCTCAAATTATTTTTAAAATAATATGTATGAGAAAAAAAATCAAAAAACAAAAGTATATAAAAAAAAACTTCACTCATGTGATTAACAAAACTTGGTATATGGCTATTACTTATTATTGTTAAACACAAAGCATAAAAAACAGCTTTTTTGTAAGCATCACTTTAGGTTTGTTTTGTTTTTGATTTTCTTAAATGATTACTAAGCAGCACCTTTTTGTTAATAATGCTTAACAATTTTGTTTTATTTTTAATATAATTAATTTATTGAGAACAAAAATTAATTAGCATTTTTCACAAAAAAACAGTAGTTATCTGAAGGAAAAGCCCCATTATGATGAACGATGCCAGCTGATTTGATACATAATGATTTGAAATGCCTTCTTTTTTACACTTACCCGAAACAAAAACTAAACAAGAAAACAGAAAGTACAAATATAATGATTGGTTTTAAAATTCTAAATTAAAGAGAATGATATGTACAAAATAAAAAAAACATGTTTTACAAATATTCCTTTTTTTCGTTAAAATTCAACATACATAACTTTTTTTTACTAACCTTTTTTTAATATTATATATACTATATGATTTTTTTTAACATACATATAATAATAATGGTATTCAAATATCACAAGAAGAAGACGTTGCAAAAAAACTATAAAACACAAAACTGTAGAGTATATAATCTCCAAATTATCTTAAAAAAAGAAAAAAAATCAAAACAAAAACAAAATCAAACCGTAACATACAAATGATGAATATGATTTTATTCAACTTTGGTTTTTAATGGATCATCTAAAGGGGATTTCGTCGTTTGCTGTTGATGAGACTGATTAATGTTAGATGAAGAGGTTGAAGAGGAGCCGGGCACAGCCACAGACGTAGATATATCATTAACACATTCATCACAGACACGCACATCATCTAACCAACCACGATCAGGTACTGGTCTACGGGTTTTGGAACATTCAGCACATACACCCTGACCACATTTGCGACAATGATGACGTTTACAATCACCACCTTTAAATGCTTTCTGAGGACTTTGTGGCGTATCGAGAGAGACATGAGCCAATGCCAATTCCTCGGCAGTGCCAAATTGCATTTTACAAATGTGACAGCGTACAGCTTCAGCATCTGGTACCCAATAATCGGGTCTAGCAGTATCTTTAATAATTTCTATAAAAAACACACACAGTGAAAAGAAATAAACATAATCAATTTTTTTTTTCGAAAACTAAGGCTTCCAAAACAATATAATAAATAAAAAAAACTTTCTTACTAACCTTTGGTACATTCTATGGCAGCTGAAGCCACTTTACTGACCGTATTATATAATGTTTCACCACATTTGCGTACCGTTACATCTTCTTCTGTTATAATGCCCGCAGAAGTAGTAGCATTAGCTGCTGCCATTGTTCCTAACGAATGATTTGGAGAGTTATTATCATTATCAATAGTTTGTTGATCACTGGCTATACACACACACATACATACATACACATATTATAGATTTTTTTTAAATTGTTTAATTTTAACTGTAAGTATTACCTGGCATAGTGTCTGGTTGCTGCAATAATTGCTGGCGACAATCACTGCAAACTCTCACATAATCGAACCATTTACGGGCAGGTACTGGCATACGATATTGACTGCAGGCATCACAGAAACCCTCGCCACAGCCGCGACAATGATGTTTACGTAAACCGGTTTTTTCAAAGTTTTTCTTGCAAGAAAAGCAATGCTGCGGAGGGGAAAAGTAACTGGGATTAGCAAAAAGGTTTAATTTTAATCCTTTTTAAAGAATTTGGAAAATTAATTTATTTGGCAATTGTTGTCTTAGTCTGTAATTGGAAATTTTTACATAAAATCGGAAATTCTTAAAAAAGGGATATAAATTTCAAGCAGCAACGAAAAAGATTAAAATTTTTTGACTTTGAGTTAAAAATTTTCAACTTTTTTGATAACAAATTTTTGGGCGAATATATTTTGTGGAAAAATTAAGTGCAATTTGAATTTTTATTGAAAAATCACTAGTTTTTGTGATTTTCGAACATCAAAAATGAAGAATTAAAAAATTTTGAGATTTTCGAACATCAATTTTTTAATGAAAATTTAAAATTTTATCTTTTTAATACAAAGTTTAAAACGTAAATTGACAAAATCTACTTTTTGGGACAAGTTCGAAAATTTGAACTTAATTTCGAAATTCCAAAAACTATCACAAACTGTTCCATTATTGCTTTACTATAAGAAAATGATACAATTTTTCTAATTCAAACACTTTTTCATGAATATTTTGAAATTCGAACATGGAATTTCGAAAGAAAAATTCAAAATTTTCTCATTTTTATAGAAATTATGGAACCTAAATTGCAAAAATCAACTTTTTGGGACAAGTTCGAAAATTCGAACTTAATTTCGAAATTCCAAAAACTAGCGGAAAATGTTCCATTATTTCTTTACTATAAGAAAATGATACAATTTTTCTAATTTGTACACTTTTTCATGAATATTTTGAAATTCGAACATGGAATTTCAAAAGAAAAATTCAAAATTTTCTAATTTTTATAGAAATTATGGAATCTAAATTACAAAAATCTACTTTTTGACACATGTTCGAAAATTCGAACTTAATTTCGAAATTCCGAAAACTATCGGAAAGTGTTTTTGTATTACTTTACTATAAGAAAATTATAAAATTTTTCTAATTCGAATAATTTTTCACGAATATTTTGAAATTCGAACATGGAATTTCGAAAGAAAAATTAAAAACTTTTTTAATTTTTATAGAAATTATGGAATCTAAATTACAAAAATCTACTTTTTGACACAAGTTCGAAGTTATTTCGAAATTTAAAAAAAATCACTTTTTTCAAGAGTATTTCACTTTTTTCAGGAGTATTTCGTAATTCAAACATAAGTTTTTTAAAAAGAATTTAAAATTGTATGCCTTACTTACCGTTATTTCATTATTTGGCTTCCAGTACTTGGGTGCCACCTTGTCAGCACACCATTCCTTCAATGCTCCCGTGGGTTGTGACGAAAAATTTGTAAAAGCTTCACACACATATGAAACCTTATCTAAAACCATTTGTCCCGAATGCGTGGGACCTTTGGCCAACAAATTACTATCCTTCCAAACATGTACCGTTTGTGTACGTATAGCTTCACAATCTTGAGTACCATTCCAATATTTAAATGTACGTGCTATCTCACCACAATGTGGACAATTTATCGAACAATGAGTCCAGCCATCAAGGCGTGAAACAATAACCTCTCGGCCATTATTATAACAAGATTTACAAAGTTCTACTTTGTTTTCGAATTGATGCTGATGCTGGCAGGGTTGAGAATTAAGATGTGATTCACCATCATGACCCATGGAACGTTGGCAGCGTCGATTGCAAGAGGCACACAATATGGGACAAGTGAAATACTGTTCGGGAAAGGGATTTATAGATTTTTCGGAAATTTCACCCGAGAATTTTTTATTCAAAGCATGCATAGCCTTGAATATAACGCTGGGCGGACGGGGAGAACGTACAGTGGTATTTTCTAAATCACAACGTAAAGCAAATATCAATTTGCTGTAGTCAGTAGAGCCGCTCGAAGAGGTTTGTATGCCCACATAACGTAAAGAACTAAATGCCTTGATGTCATAATTTAAACGGGCGAAACTTTCACGCATTTTTTCCTCAGCACTTTCCTCGACGGCTGTAAATATGACAAAATATAACAAATTATAAGATGAAAGGAAAAAAGAACCACAACAAGAAAATACTAACAATTTTGCAAAGGTTTGGTATGTCTAGTTTCATGAAACACTATAACCGCCGGCCCTAAGTTAGCCGAGCCCTGCATAGACAACGACTGCAGGGCTTGTGAAAAATGCAAACAAAATGCTTTAGAAGCGGTGCCCAAAAACTCATACATATCACTGTGCAAACGCTCCGATCTGGTGCGATATATAACTATATCTGATATGGCTAAAACCTAAATGAGAAACAAATTATATCTAAGCTTTAGTTTTAATTTAAACAAAAACCCACCTTAAGTAACATACGCATGCGTCTATTGCTTTGCGATGACGTAGAGAGTAAACCCTCTGTGTCCAAACATAATACCCCCAATTCGGGCTGCATGGCGGCGTATACTCCTAGTGTACAGGAATTCTGTTCGGGTGATGTTTTAAACACTTCCTCTCCCTTGAAGAAGGCATGATTCATTGTATGTGATTTACCATCACCGGTGTTGCCAAATATGGTCACCACTTTTATTTTGGCCGTATTGGAACATTTTAATTGTTTACAAAATAATTCTGGCGACGAGATGTGTAGCTTTTCATTGCCATCCATGAGAAGAAATGAACGTTCTGTTGAATTGTCGGTAACATCATAGTCGGTAGAAGTAATTGTGATTGATTTAAAATCGGCATCACTGACAACATCGGGTTTTAAAGCTTCTTCCTAAATTGGGGGAAAAAATAAAATTTAGATTTTATTATTTGTGATTTTGGAAAACTTTTAAAACTTCGAGGATCATGAGTTTCCATCAACATATATAACGTTTTCATATTAGAAATTTTAGCTCAAACTTAACAGAAGTGAACTAGAACTGAAGTAGCACTGAACTAGAACTGAACTGGAGCTGAACTAGAACTGAACTAGAACTAAACTAGAATTGAACTAAATTAGAACTGAACTAGAACTGAAGTATAAATAAACTAGAACTGAACAAGAACTGAACTGCAACTTCATTAGAATTGAACTAGAACTGAAACTGAACTGAAACTGAACTAGAACTGAACTAGATCTGAACAAGAACTGAACTAGAACTGAACTAGATCTGAAATAGAACTGAACTAGAACTGAACTAGAACTGAACTAAACTAGAACTGAACTAGAGCTGAAATAGAACTAAACTAGAATTGAATTAGAAAACTAGAGTTGAACTAGATCTACACTAGAAGTGACGTAAAACTGAACTAGAAGTGAACTAGAATTGAACTAGAACTGAGCTAGAACTAACCTAGAACTGAACTAGAATTAAACTAGAACTGAACTGCACAATAATTGAACTAGAACTAAACAAGAACTGAACTGGAACTGCACTAAAATTGAACTAGAACTGAAGTAGAACTGAATTAAAAAAATGTTCGAATATAAAAATAACCAAGAAAAGTGTTCGAATAAGAAAAAATTTCTTATTTTAGAATTGTAGAGTAATAATGGAATCTTACACACAAATTAGGTAAAAAATTTTAAATTTTTTTCCAAAAATTCTTCGAATTTCAAAAACTGTACCAATTTTTCGACAATTTAAAATTAAAAAAAGGGGATTACCATAGTTTTTTTATATTTGAAGTTATTTCTTAAGAAAATCCTCTGCCAGTAAAAAACATTAATCTCATGATCATCTCTCTCTCGTTCTTTCACACAAACACTCTTTAAAACTAACCTCAGAGATGGGCTGCATAAACGCCATTAATTTGTTATATGGTCAAGTTAAAAATGTTTTAAAAACTTATTTTCGATAAAGAAAAAATCACTCAAATTAACTTGTTTTATTGACATTTAATTGCTTGATAAATAAACGAAAATTTCACAATAAATTTAGCAAATGACTAATACCAACAACCAGCAACCAGTTAAGTTAAATTTGAAAATAAAAGGGAATTCTTTTCGTTTTTATTGTAATTGTGTATGAAGTGGGATATTTTATTTATTATATATTTTAAGTTTCTTTGTTATTAAAAATGCGCACATTCGCAATGACACAAAGTTAAAGACTGTTATGAAAAAATGCTGTATTTTGTTTGTTCTCTTCTCTAAAACGAGTCAATACTACAAAATCCTATTTTGTTTGCGTATTTTTTTTTTTAATTTTATTCTGCCGTTATTATTAAAAACATGAAAGAAAAATCTGTTCGTTTTTGTTTTTAAAATAAATACAGCGTTTACCACAACAAAATAGAAGAGTAAAATTGTAATAATAAACAAAACGGAGAAAAAAAAAAACAATAATAAAAGTAATCAAACAAAAGAATTCTTATCTCTACAAAAACCCTTTAATGGCAATACGTGTTAAATTTTTCTACTGCAAAAAAAATCATTTACATTTTCTACTCAAATCATTGAAAATAATAATAATTAATATATTAAAATGTAAAAATAAGCTTTCTATCTTATGGACAAGTCATTGCACTTTTTGTTGCCACATGGCGTAGAATAGGCCGGTAATAAACTGAATGCGCAATAAGATAAAAAAACACAAATATTTTTTGTGTTAAATTTGTATACTGTGGTGTAGGTATTTAAATTTAAAATTTTGAAAAAATAGAACACACTCAAATTTTAACTGTTTGGAAACGGAAGTGAAATCATGTTAAGTGAAAATGAAAATGATATTGAAAATAATGTTATGAAGTTTTAATTACAGTGGAAGCTTTATAAACCAGACTACAGTTTAGACCATAGTCAGGTGTATAGTTTAGTATACACTACACTGTAGACTAGACTGTAAACTTGACTATATTCCAGACTATAGTTCACACTACAGTGAAGTCTATATAATAGGCTAAACAATAGACCTGACTATAGTCTAGACCATAGTCCAGACTATAGACTGTAGGACAGACTATATACTAGGCTATATTCCAGACTATAGACCAGTCTATAGACAAAACTATAGTTCATACGATACACTAGACTATAGACTAAATAGTCCAGCCTTTATAATAAATTCCAATCTAACGTAAATGCCGCTTTGTCTATAAGATTAAGGCGTGCCTCCTGATCAACGAGAACAAAATGATAAGCGCAAAAATATGCCCTCAGTTTCAATACAAAACAAATGATAATGAATTTGCCCACAGCTTATCATTTGCTAAACCATACGTAGTAAACCTAAGCTTATCAGTCGACATTGTATAGGAAAAGTTTGTTGTCCAGTTTACAACAGCGCACAAAGAATACAAATAACAACAACAAAAAACTATTAATAAAACGCAATTTTAAATAAATAAAATCAAATAGTGTGTTTATGAAAAACACATACACACTGGCAAGTTGCCTATAAAATGTTCGATCCATACAATGAATTAGTAATTCCAGCTTACCTTGTAGAAGGTCAAAGAATCGTAAGGCTCCATAATGGCTGGTGTGCCCTCCTGTTTATTATCGATTTTAAACATTTTCCCCTCAAAAAAACACAAAATATTTTTACACTTTAGTAAATATTATTACTAATACAATAGTTAAATGTTTTATTGTTTTTGGCAGCTCACTTTTTAAGGGGAGTTTCTTGGCAGGGGTCTTTTTTTTCTTGTTCAATACATTTCGTTTAAAAACAATGATTTTTCTTTTGTTTTGCACTATTTTACACAACTGTTTTTAATTTCTCAGAAATTTATTGCTATCCAAGCATGGTTTTTATTGGTAACTGTCTTAATCCATTAAGAAGTTATTGTATTTTAAATTTTTTATATTATATTGTTTATAGGTGTGATAATTATAAATTATTTTTAGAAATTATGCACAAATTGCAATGCAATTACACCAAAAAAACAAAAAAATTTCCTTCTTCTTCTAGTAGTCTGATCAGAGCCCTGCGCCGACAAATATTAACGACGGCGGCGACTGACACTAAATATGTCGGCGGCGGCTTAAAATCGACTGTAAGCCGGCTAAGTTTTCAACTACGTTTAGTTTTTAATTTTTCAACGATTTTAAATAAAAACGGAATCCGAGAGATCAGAAAGTGGAATTTTGGAAGCAAATATATTGTTTATAACAACAAAACAGAGCAAGCTCAAAAGTTGTGTGAGAAATTATGCAGGGATGAATAAAAAATTCTTAAAAATTAAAAACAAATCCTTTCTCCAAGTTTTACTAGGATCTGCCGATATTTAAGCCTATCTTCCATATAAAACATCTTGCAGAATATCAGTTTCTAAAAAATTTTTCATTAAGAAAATGATCAATAACGCAAAAACAAAGATATTTTATTTGTTTATTTACAAGCTATACCCAGTGTGCTGTGCTACCCTAAAAGCAATATAAATAAGAAAACCACTTAACGACTTTGATGATTCTAACTACAATGGTTTTCCAGATATACAATTTGTTGCATATGGGAGATTCCACGCAAATTATTGCAATTTCGAATAATCTAATAGTTTCCCAGATATACAAAATTTTGTATTTAATTCATATGGGAAGTGCCAAGCCCCCCATTGAAAGTCCGCCCGTTATTCTCTAAATGTTCTTCAGTAAAAATTGAAATTCTAGCTCTAATAGTTTCTCAGATATACGAATTTTTCTATTTAATTCATATGGGAGCTCCAAGCCCCCCAGATGAAAGTCCGCCCTTTTCGGACTTTCGAGCTCTTTTGTAAAATCGACGTAAGCGAGATAAATTTTCGTTCAATTAGGATACTGCGTGTTTAATTTTATGTTTATATATTCAATATTTTAGAAAATTCAAAAAGTACCAGTTAAAGAACGAAAAATTACCAGAAATACTCCAGTTTAAATTTTCATTCACTCAAGTCCCTGATTGCTTAGTTTTATGTTTTTAGGTTCATTATAATAGAAAATTCAAATAGAACCAGTTGAAGGTCGAAAAAGTTCCAAAAAGTCCCCTTTTATATGTTATCACTTAATCCGGGCTGTACATTCCTAATTTCATGTTTCTAGGTTCAATATTATAAAAAATTCAAAAAGTACCAGTCGAAGAACGAAAAAGTACCAAAAAGTCCCCTTTTAAATGTTATCACTTAATCCGGGCTGTACATTCTTAATTTCATTTTTCTAGGTTCAATATTATATAAAATTCAAAAAGTACCAGTCAAAGAACGAAAAAGTACTAAAAAGTCTCTTTTTATAGATTATAATTTACTCCGGGCTCTACATATTTATTTTCATGTTTCTAGGTTTAATTTTATGGAAAACTCAAAAAGTCACAGTCGAAGTACGATAAAGTTCCCATTTTATAGATTCTCATTTACTCCAGGCTCTAAGTGCTTAATATCATGTTTGAGGTTCAAATTTTGTAGCAAGCTCAAAAAGTACCAGTCAAAGAACGAAAAAGTACCAAAAAGTGCCATTTTATAGATTCTCATTTACTCCAGGCTCTACGTGCATAATTTCATGTTTCTATGTTCAATTTAATAGAAAACTCAAAAAGTACCTTTTGAACGAAAAACGAACGAAAAAGTACCAAAAAGTCCACTTTTATAGATTCTCAAGTGCTTAATTACATGTTTCTAAATTCTAAGTCAAAAAAGTACCAGTTGCAACATCGTATTGGGAGCCCGTTATTATGTATTCATATGTTAAGTTAATAAACCAAAAACAATGTTTTATAAAAAAAAAGTACCAAAAATAGGTACAATTTTCACCCCTTAAACGTCCGAATATCCAAAAAGTACTAAATTCATATTTTTATTTGTTCGTCAAGTTATGAAGGATTCAAAAATATTTTTTGAAAAAAAGGTTTTTTTATTTGATATTTTTTTTGATTTAAATTTTATTTTAAAATATTTTTTTATTGTTTGACATAAACACATTAATATTTGTATTTTTATTTTTGGATTGGTAGCACTTTTATCGACGTTAAAATTAACTTGTATAATTTTACACGTTAACTCCTAACGTTTATAAATTTTAAATTTATATGAAATTGCCTTTGAACGTTAGCAACAAAACACAACTATTATTCAAAATTATAAATGGTGCTTTTTTCTTCACGGTTTTGAATATTTTTACCCGTTTTGGAGTCCTTTTGTTTTTCGATGATAAGGCAACACTGCAAACATCTGTTTTATATTCTCTTCTTTCTATTCTATTCTCTTCTCATTATTTCTCTTTAAATGCCATTTTTCATTAATCATTATAATAATTTTTCATCGCTTGTGAAAACACACACTCCGTAGGAAAATCTTTGTATAATTGTGCAAAATTTTTCCATTTTATTAATAGTTTTTAAACAAAAAATTTTTATTAAAAAGGTGCTCTCTCCAAACAAATCCAACCTTTAACAAACCGTCAATTTTATTATAAAACTTTAAACACAAAAGAAACGCAAAAAGTTTTGAAGAAAAATTCTTTCTTTAGAAAAAAAGAAGTCAAGTGTTTGCAAAAAAAAAAATTGTGTAGTTTTTCTTATTTTTCCTCGTTATCGTTATACACAAAAAAGAGCTGTGTAGGAGTCGTTTATACAGCACCTGCCATAAATTGTACGTACAACGTATAAATAGGGAGGGGACTAGTTGGTGTTTAGATAAAAAGTGTTAAATAAATTATAACTATCAATTGATTGTGTCCATATAACTAAAAAAAAAATAAATAAATATCGAGTGTGTGTAACCACTAAAGGCCGCATCATCATCATCTTCAGTACAAAGCAACGTAACAACAGCAGCAGCAAGTGAAAGGGGGTTGCCTTGTTTTAAGTGTTGGTCTGTTGATTAGATCATACTACAAACCAAACCACCACCACCCGTATGCCAGGTTTTCATTTCAATGAAATGGGCGAAATGGTGTTGGACGCAATTGATGATATTGGAGTGGTAGATGTTTACGATTTGGCCTCCGACATAGGCAAGGAGTATGAAAAGATTATTGACCGTTTTGGCACTGAGGCCGCCACTGGTCTTATGCCCAAAATTATTAATACATTGGAGCTGCTAGAGGCTTTGGCCACCAAGAATGAACGTGAAAATGCCACCATACAAGAGCTCAAAGATAAAATAGCCCAGTTGGAAAGTGAAAAATCAGAAAAGGCTGAATTCCGCCGTAGGTTTGAAAAAGAATTGGAAATGATTGAGGAGCAATGGCGTACGGAAACAAATGATTTGGCCGATTTGGTCTCATCGTTGCAGGAGGAGAATAAACGTTTGGTAAAACAAACTCAAGATTTGCAGTCATCATCGGCTCAGTCGTCTGGCTTGGGTGCCAGTCTAACGGAGAGTATTATAAGTATTACCAACAATGAATTGCATAGTGCTTTGAGTGATACACAAGTATTGCAGCGGCTTAAGGAACAAATCTATAGACAACGAGATGAGTTGAAGGAAAAGGAAAGGGAATTGCAGAGTAAATATACGGAAATTGAACATGTAAGTAGGGAAGAACTACTTTTTGTACCTAGTTTCTTTTTGTGACCAATATTGTTTAGAGAAAATTTCTGGGGAAAACTAGAGCGTTTCAGAGACACTTGATTCGTCGAGAACTTTTTTCTAAGTAAATGTCTATTTATCGATAACTTTTTTATATAAAATTTAAGTTATCGATAACTTTTCTATACAAAAGTCAAGATATCAATAACTTTTCTATAGAAAAGTCATGTTATCGATAATTTTTTGTATAGAAAAGTTAAGGTTTCAATAACTTATCTATAGAATAGTTATCGATAACTTTTCTAAATAACCTTTCTATATAAAAATTACGTCATCGAAAACTTCTCTATTTATAAAAGTTAAGATTTAGATAATTTTTCTATATATATGACATGATATCTATAACTTTTATCTAAATTTTCTATAGAAAAATCATGATATTGTTAACTTTTCTTTGAATATGTCAAGTAATCGATAAATTTTCTTTAGAGATATCTGGTTATCAATAAGTTTTCTTTATAAAAATTAAATTTAAAAGGATGAAAATGTTCACTTTTCAATTAAAGTTCCTTTTGTTAAACTACTTTCCTCTTAATTTTGTTTACAAATCTGTGTCATTGTTAAAGGCTCATTTAGTTTTCCTTTTATGGTTTCATATTAAATAAGATGTCCTAAAGAAAAGTGTATGTATATAAAAGTTTTATGGTCACGTTTATTAAACAATTAGTTGTTTATGTACATCTTTACTACTTGCCCTTTAACAAAGTGACAATAATTTGCTTTAACTTTCTTTAACCCCCTCCCTTACATTCTCCCCTTTAAACACTTAACTATTAACGTTAACTAGATGACCATACAAATGGAACGTTTTAAATCTTCGGGACGTGATACACGTCGTCGTTGCACTATGCTACAAACACAGGTAAAAACTTTGTGTGAAGAACGTGCTGACTTTTTGGCACAACTACAGGACCAGTGTCGCGAAATTAATAGTTTACGCAAACGTTTGGGTTTGGCTGAAAAAGATAATGAAGATTTGTATATGTCACATGATGACGATCCCAACGATCCGAATCGTCCACGTTATACAACATTAGAGCTAAAAGAACTGATTAATGAACGCGATGAATTGTTAACAACAATTGAGAATTTGAATGAAGAATTGAGGGCATTAAAACCAACCGAAATAACAGCAAATGATTCAAGTTCAGATGATGATGATGATAATGATGATGGTGTGGGTGCAGAGGGTGGGGAAGATGAGGATAATGGTGAACATAATGGAACGTAAGTGTAAAGAAATTAATTAAAGGTTATGTGTTTTCAATTTTGTTTTGTTTTTTTCTTAGACCTCCTGAACATGATGCTCCTGTACAAGGACCCTTACCCTTTGAACCCGATGATGCTCCCTGGAAGAAGTCCAATGAATCTGGTATTCGTAAATTGTAAGTTTCTTCTTATTTTGTTTGTTTTAGGCGCTAAATAAA